GGCCACTACCAAGGGTGTGGAGCACAGCATCCCTCCATCTGTGGTGGGCAGTGCTAGTACTAGCTACCCAGGTCATCTCTGCTTAATGCTGTGAGGCATGAGATGCAGAGAACTGAGACTCTAAGGGTGCTGAGACACATCCACAGAGCAAGAGTTCCTGCATTGGATGCTGTCTTTGGTGGCCCAGGATTAAGTAGGAGGCCAGGCTTTGCATGCACCACCCTGGTTTAAATCTCCAGCACTGCACAGTCCCCTGAGCACTATCAGGCTGAGGAGAGAGCCAGGACTGGCCGCTGACTACTGCTGATTGAAACCCCCTCCCCTAAATGGCATAAATGGCAACCCATGGCATGAATCTGTTGACTTCCTGTTTGGAGCAAATGGCCAGAAGAACCCACAAAGGCACCCATACCCCTTCAATGCTCTGAAGGCATCATGGGACCTAAAACAGAACTTGCCTGGATCATCGTCATGTCAGTGGATGTAGGATAACATTGGTTTGTCCTTCTGCCTTGCTGCAGGGAGCTTAGGTTTATTGGGTTATTCCCATCACAGTGCTCTCATTCCTCTGTGTTTATTTGTAACCTCTTTCTTTGTGCTCTGTTAACATGTAAATATTGTTTTTCTCTTCTCCTTAAGTCCTTTGCATAGTTAATTCAGAGCAGTGTCCTTTTCATATGGACACAAGAAGACAGTTAATGCTATGCTTTTGTAACTTGGGAGTTAAGTGACTCCGAATGATAAATTCACCCCTGGGAATCTGTCCTCTCAACATAAGCCTCAATTGCCCTTACTTCCTAGCACTCCCAAAGCAGGGTCCTGACAAGAGACTGGATGGACCCAGGGGAAACTGTGAGCTATGTGCTACCCTGACAGCGAAAGTGTCATAATGCTTAACGATAAGAGCATGGTCATGGACAAATGCTGTCATGATCCAAAAAGCAATAACTAAATTCGGACCCTGCTAGGGTAAGGATTGATCTGGCCTGAGCACTGTAGTCTGAGTCTGTGGCGAGATGTCCCCAAGAGAGCCACCCTACAAGCTCAATGTATCTCTTACTGTGTCCATACAAAATAACTAATATTAAGATGCTAATTAAGTTATTGGACTAAAGAGAGCAGAAACGCCCCTAAGTGGTATTTTGCCCTTGAGCAGAAGGGCTTTTAATATGTTGATTTTGCTGCCAGGTGTGGTGTGGTGACTACCCTCAATACAGAGAGTTGGAGAGAGATGAGTGAGAGACCAGGGCAGCAAGATGGAGCACAGGGAGACTAGCAAGGGGGACAGAGGAAGAAGAATGTAGGGGAAGAATGCAGGAGCAGGTGGGTGGAGAGACGAGAGATGCGGCTGCGAGATGGAGCTCAGAGAGCTGAGTGGGAGAGACAAGAGGAGACGGGAATGAGGGGCAGGGTGAGACTACAAAGGGAGGCTTAGAGAGACTGGAACAGGCTCGTGGGGACAATGGAATAAATGGCAACTGGTCATCAACCAGCTTGGCCCCCATTTCCTCCTTCATCCACCCATGGCATGGGCCGCCCTGGGTCAGGGAGTGGCTTGAGTCCACTGAACGTGGGTGGAGAGAGAGAGACAGAGAGAGAGAGAAAGAGACAGACGAGAGAGAGAGAGAGAGAGAGAGAGAGAGAGAGAGAGAGAGAGAGAGAGAGTTGTTGGGGCTTTCCCTAGTCAGTGGGAGATTACACAAGTGGAAACTTTCACCTCTCAAGTATCAGTTGCATCTTGTGCCGCTTGCTCATTCCTTCATGTCATGTGTCTCACTGAACTAATTTACAACTCAACAAATAGGCTTTATTACAGCTATTTTTTGCCTTTGCCTAGCTACAAGCCAAAGAAAAGCAGGCTTCATTAATTCGAGTACTTATTTCCGAACAAGGTATTGACAAGCTTGGAGATGATTCTCTGGGCATTTAGAGCATTGAAGGTGAAAGGGTCTCAGAGTCCATATGGTCTCATCTTGTATATTTTCATTTCAGCCTCTAAGGCTGACAGATCAAATGATGAGCAAATGGGGTATTAGTTAATATCTACTTATTCCTCCACAAGCCATAGTCCATTTCACCACGTCAGGTGCCCATCTCTGACCTGACCCACACAGGGTGTGCATCCATTTAAATTCATTTCCTCTCTCCACCACCCGCCATATCACCCATTCCAATCGTTTGCAAGCCTAACTGCCCGTTTCTCATCTTGAATTGCTAATGGACCAGATACCAATAATACAGAAGTGAAGATATTCAAGCAGCTGCTTGAGGATCATTTGAAAGTAGCAGCACCACAGCCTGAAATTAGTTTACCTGGGCTGGCGTCTGGCTTCCTCTCCCTTATAGTTGGTGAGAAACCAGCCAGAGATGTCTGGGGCTTGCTGGACTCATCACCTCAGGGGCCAGCACCTCGGTGTCTTTTACTTAATGAGGCCCCAGGAGCCTCCCTCTACTCCTCCACCCCCGCCCACCACTAAAACACACACACCAGGACTGGCCGGGCCACACCAGTGCAGAGTCAGGGTCAGAGTCAGCTGGGGTTGGCTGTGGACACATTCAGGCTTCCCCTTGGCTGGGAAAGAGCCAGGAATGAAAGAACATGTGAAGTCCCATGAAATTCATTCCACAGGATGGAATTTCTCAACAATCTATTGTGAGCCAGGTTCTAAAAAACGGAGGTGAGGGGGCTGGAGCGATAGCACAGTGAGTAGGGTGTTTGCCCTGCATGCGACCGACCCGGGTTCAATTCCCTGCATCCCATATGGTCCCCTGAGCACCACCAGGAGTAATTTCTGAGAGCAGAGCCAGGAGTAACCCTGTGCATCACTGGATGTGAAGCAAAAAATAAATAAATAAATAAAAGACAGAGGTGAGACTAAAATGTAAAAGATGAGGCTGAAAACCCAGGGGCAGTGGGTCCGAGGGGGACTTTTTTATGCAGCTAAAAGGCAAATCCAGAAGTAATCTCAAATGACCTCTGCTAAATTCCTCAGGGCATGACTGGTCTAAGCAATGATGCCAGGAACACCTTATAAAAACTGTGGAGGATGAAATCCGAAGTGGAGGGCTAGAGATTCAGTAAAGTAGCAACAAAGTATCTAAGGGGGCAGTCTTTTGTAGGTGCTGATTTAGGCAATGAATCTAGGACCCCTTAGATCTGAGTATAAACCAGGGCTTCCCCGACATTGTATTTGAAAACGACAGAAAACAAAGTATTAAAAGAATTTTAATAAAACCATCATGTTTATATCTGTACAATTTGAATATCTGGGACGCACACAAGGGCAGAGGATCAAGATGCTAGGACAAAAATCCCTGTGAGGGAGTAAGTCAGGATGGCAGATTTCGACTGAGTACTGCTGTCCCACATACCGGCCCTGCAGAGTCAGCGTGGACTCATCAAGCCCGTGGGCATGAGTGGGTCTGTCTGAGCCCTCACACTACTGCACTCAAACCAGAAAGGCAATAGTAGAACAGTTGGGAAACTGAAACAGTATAGAATGCCACTGTCGATGAGATCAGTTCATGCTGTTTTAACCAGAATGGTTCCACGGAGGCTACTGAGGGAGGGGAAAAAGGGCAGAGTGATGCTTCCAATTGCTTTATTCAATGCACAGTCACAAAACAGCAGGCTTTAGAAAGAAACATGTATTTCTTCAAAAATATTTGAAAAAGGGGCTTAGTAAGAGTCAGAGAAAGGTATGGTCTTGAAACAGAGGGGTCAGTTATGCAGTGTCATTCGGCCCCTCTATGTTAAGATTTGATACAGATGGAAAATTAGTTAGCTTTAATTCTCATTATTCTAAAGGATAACAAATGTTTCAAAATATTGATCAATGACAAGAGAGAGAGAGAGAGAGAGAGAGAGAGAGAGAGAGAGAGAGAGAGAGAGAGAGAGAGAAAGACTTCTGTCCCAAAGTTAGGAATGAGCAATCACAAGGCTTTTAAAAGATTTTTACCCATTTTGTATACAGAGAAACAGTGCTTTAAAAAGTGCAATATTGCATTACTGGTAACTTGCTCTTTGAAAAAGTTCATTCAAACGCACAAGTTGGAATGATGATGTACACTGTCACAAGATCGTTCCCTAAGTCATTCGCAGGGTACATACAATCTGAGCAGGCTTGGAAAGTCAGACAACCGACATGGCAGATGGGTGACTTCCAGGGAACTGTCTTCATTTCTTCTTCAGACAACTGAGACACGTATCTCAAAGAATGCATGGATGGCTCTGCCCTCTTGGCCCATTCTGAGTCTCCAAAGGAAGAATACTGACCATTACTGGTACAGAAATACATTTTTCAGAGAAACGACAATGTGCTTCCCCCACTAAGGCTCAGGCTGTCACTGTAGAACAAACGCTTGCCTGCCAAGGCTGCTCTGTGTGTGTGTGTTTTGGGGGATGGGGTCGAGAACGACGATGAAGATGACATGGTGTCTTTCTTGTCTGTTCCTAATAGAATTGAGACTCACAATGGAAAAACTTCAGAGGGCAGTGTAACAATGACAGCTTCAGCTTTCTGAGTGCTTCTAAACAGAAACATAAAATCAGTCCCTGAACAGGGATGCACAAGAGGCATTTTCCTATGTCTTCAGAAGCTGCAGGATCAGGCATGTAAAGTGCAGGGAGGTAAGGCCAAGGGTGGGGCTCCCCCATGGGGGGTGGGCAGTGGCTGCCAGGTAGGATGTCCTTGGGGATAGACACGGCAGCCGTCCCCCTGCCCTGCACCTTGCTCACACTGCTCCTGAAATCCGCATGTTTGTGCTCAAAACATTTCCCTTTTCTTTCCCCAAGAGTTGAACGGAAGGTACAGTTGTAATGAAAAAAAAAAAAATATCCCTCCCTCCGGAACTCCCCTAACTAGTACAGATGACAAAGGTGATAGGTGATGCTGAGCGAACATGTTCGCTGTGGAGTTTGGGATCAGTAGATGATAAGACGGTGAAGGAAGGACGGGTGCGCCTCATCCCACAGGGTTCTCACCCCATTCCCTTCCCCATGGTGGGGCAGCTGCTCTCCTTGGTGCCAGGGTCACTTGCAAGGTGGCTAGACACACCCACTATTCCAGTGGGGAGTGCTGTGGTCAGTCTCTGGGGATGCAGAGGAAGGGTATGGTGTGAGCAGAGTGGGTGAAGCACTTCCCAGAGGAGTCTGCAGGAGAGGCAGCCCCAGGCTCACGGAAGGGGCAGGTATCACGGGGGGCCCCCACCAAGGAGAGGGCCTCGTCTCTGTCGACGTTTCCAGTGCAAATGAACAGGAACCTGGAGGCTGGACCAGGGCGGTCGGTCACATGTGCAGGCTCACGTCTTGCTGGGCGGCAGTTGGGCTCTGTGGATGCCATGTCCTGCCGTCTCCCTGGGGAGGGAGGGGGGGTGGTTGTGCGTTTACATTCAGTGTGGAGCTACGGGCAGCAAGGTCTGGAGGTACCCCCAGCACCCTGGCATGCCATCTCTCTGTCCTGGTGGGCCCAGACTGCCCCGACTCTGCTCCCTGCACCCTGTCAGCTGGGTGAAGAACGTGGGACCCCCAGTGCCCTTGCAGGCTGCTTCAAGTCCGAGGGCCAGGGGTGGGCGGGCTGGGGCTCCGGTGTCTGCCAGCTGCACAATGGGTGTGCACAAGGCCACCATTAGGGTATCTGACAAACACGGGCTCACAAAAGGGATTCTGGCACATCTGGCAAAGCTTTTTGTCTGAGAGCCGAACCGAGCTTCCTTTCAGCTTCATCTGCAAGAAAAGAAACAAACAATGATCTCTCTTTCTCTCCTCTCTCTCTCTCGCTTTCGGTCATACCCAGCGATGCTCAGGGGTTACTCCTGGCTCTGCACTCAGGAATTACCCCTGGCGGTGCTCAGGGGACCATATGGGATTCTGGGAATGGAACCCGGGTTGGCCGCGTGCAAGGCAAAAACGCCCTACCAGCTGTACTATCACTCTAGTCCCAGCCGTGTGCTCCTATATATGGCTGTGACGAAACAGAACAGGGGACTAGAGAAGGCCCAAATGCAACAGAGAGGTGGTCTTTAGTGAGAAGGGGCTGGGGAGGGTGGGAAAAGGGCCTGGGACAATAATATAATGGACAGAAGTGGACACCTGGGTGGAGGGTTCAGTGCTAGAACAGTTCATGCATGAAACCCTACTAATATTAATAATGGTTTATAGACCACAGTACCCAAAGTTAAAAAAAGTCACTCCCTAAGCCTGAAACAATCCCTATTTCTCTTCCCTTGCCCCTCTCCTGACTATAATACCCTTTTCATTCTTTTTTTTAAATCTTTTTTAAAATTATTATTTTTTTAAGTGAATCACCGTGAGGTAATTACAGATTTACAAATTTTCATGCTTATGTTTCAGTCACACAATGATCGAGTACCCAATCTTCCACCAGTACCCATTCTCCACCACCAGTGTTCCCAGTATCCCACCCCCCCCACCCCCCACCTGCCTCTGTGGCAGGCGGATTCACTTTTACTCTCTCTCTCTCTCCCTCCCTCTCTCTCTCTCTCTCTCTCTCTCCTTTAACCTTGTGGTTTATAATATAAGTATTAAGTGGCCATCATGCTCAGTCTAGAGTTTACTTTCAGCACACATCTCCCATCCCAAGCGGGCCCTCCAAACATCCTTTACTTGGTGGTCCCTTCTCTATCTGAGCTTCCATTTCCCCCAGCATGTGAGGCTGTCTTCCAAGCTGTGAAGTAATCCTCCTGGTCCTTATCTCTACTATCCTTGAAAACCCCTTTCATTCTGAATACCTTTCTGTAGGACCTTCCTGTTTGTTTATCTAGTTAGGGTGCTCCCTAATTAAAGTCAACTGAATCTTGAGAGTTAATTTGGCTGATTTTTTGCTAGTTAACAATAGTTATTTGGGTTTTTCAGAGCTCACATATATTGCCCCATGAATTATTACTAATGATAAAGAGTATTATTTTTTGGTTGTTGTGGGGGCTATACCAGGTGATGCTTAGGGCTCAGAAATTACTCCTGGTAGGACTTGGGGGACCCTATGTGGTGCCAGGATTGAGTCAGAGTCAGCTGCAGGCAAGGCAAGCACCTTATATGTGCTGTACTATCTCCCTGGCCCCAGATCAGTATTTCAATAACAACTTCTTGAAGCAAAATATCACATATAAACATAAAAACATCATTGGTAACTGAAGAAGTATAAAAAGCTACAAAACTGCTTTGTTACTCCGCAGAAAGCAATGAGTGCTTATCTAACCAAGGCACGTCCAAAAAACAGGATCTGCTTTTAAATACTCACCTTCTACATTTAAGGAAGGAAGGCAGGCCTACTATGACAGCAAGTCAGGTAATGTTGAGTGTAACAGGGATGCAGACTGATCTCCTGGCCTTCTCATTTGCTAACAAGAACATTAAGCTGGAATCAGGGTCTTTCCAGGGGAACTGAGTGGCATCTTGCTGATGGATTTTGGAAAACATTTTGGTTTGTTTTGGGGCCATACCTGGCAGTACTTGGGGCTTACTCCTGGTTCTGCACTCAGGGGTCACTCCTGGCATCCAAGGACCATACAGAGTGCCAAGGATTGATCCCATGGCAGCTGCACGCAAAGCAAGTGCCCTACCCGCTCTACTGTCTATCACTCCAGCCCCAGGTTCATTTCTTTTAGGGTAAATAAGGAAACTGAGCAGTGACTCCACCGGTCTCTGTATGGTAAGTAGCACTGAGGTTCTCAAGTTAAAATGCCCTTTTGTGGCCAGGGTGAAGGCCAGAGGGTGGGAGCAAGGTCAAGCGCCTCAGGACAAGGCAAGCAGGCCCCAGCAATGCTCAGCCCCCACAGTCCCAGGGCCAAGTATGAGGAGGTGTGGCCTCTGTACCCCCAGGGCACTACTGCAAGACCATCCCCATAAAATCTCAGGGGTGGGGTGCAGGTGAGAGGCTTCTCTGAAACATTTACCCAGGTAAACCTGTGGGCCTGAATAGTAACTTAGTGAGGTCCTCAAGTCTTTTCACTCCATCACGGCCCCAGCAGGCAGCCTGAGCTCTGGGGACCCCACCATGGATTAATAGCCTCCCCAGCCTCAAAGAACCCACCCAGAGTGTGGGAAAGCCTGTTCCATGCCTGCTTCCTTGGGTGGGAATGTGGCACTGTGGCATGGACGAAATGATCTGGGGAAGGGAAGCAGGGAACAGTGGCCAGGGCACTAAGTGTGGTGCTATGTGCCCGACTACAGCGAGGAGAGTGTGGGGCCAGAGTGACAGCACAGTGGGTAAGGTGTTTGCCTTACATGCCGCCGAACTGTGTTCAATCAATCCCCAGCATCCCATATAGTCCCCCAAGAACCGCCAGGAGTACTTCCTGAGTGCAGAGCTAGGAGTAACCCCTGTGCATCGCTGGGTGCGACTCCTCCCCCAGAAAAAGCAAAAAAAAAAAAAAAAAAAAAAAAAAACAACAACCCAAAAATAAAACAAACCAAAAAAAACAGAGGGGAAGGTGCTTGTCTTGGTACACAGCTGAATCGGATTCACTCCCCAGCACCTTGTATGGTCTCTGTTTGGAGGATGGAGGGCTGTTTTAACCCCAGAGAGGCTGAAGGCCCAACTACCTAGACTTGCTTCCCTGCTCACTGCCTGGTCAGGACAGACTGAACTCACAGGAACCGCCGTAACGGGATGATGTAAGCTAGCTGTTGCCGGCTGTAATTTTTGAGAAGTTACAGTAAGGACTAACCGACTGATTTGCTTCTTTTATTTTATTTTTTTTTTCTTTTTGGGTCACACCAGGCGATGCACCGGGGTTACTCCTGGCTCATGCACTCAGGAATTACTCCTGACGGTGCTCGGGGGACCATATGGGACGCCAGGGATCGAACCCAGGTCGGCCATGTACAAGGCAAACATCCTACCCTCTGTACTATTGTTCTGGCCCCCTTATTTGCTTCTGTGCACATTCCTAGATTCTGGGAAGGGGTTAGGTGTATTCGGGTATGGAATGGGGGCTTAAGGTATGAACTGACTGCCTGGCAAATGCTCCGCCTTCGATGTCTTTTAGACTTTGGAGCCTACTGTGCTGAGCCTTGTGTGAGAATAAATCTGTCTGTAACATCTGTAACTCTCCCCATGTCTGTCACTTCTTGTGCTTCCAACTCTGGGAGACGCCAGCAGGCCTCCCTAACACCTGGAGCATGGCCAGGAGTAACTCTTGAGTGCAGAGCCAGGAGTAAGCCCTGCGTGTTGTCCGGTGTGGCCCCCCAAACCAAGACACCCAAGTGAGGTGGGGGCCGTTGCCACAGGTTCATTTTTCGCTTTGAAGTGAAAGGGAAAAAGGCACCCAGGGGAAAACGGTGGTCTCCCTGGGAAGCTGGGACATTCGACACGGTGGGGCGCACGGTGAAAGCAAAGGAGAAAGAACATTTTCCTGGAAGGGGAGGGGCCCCTGCACCCACTACCCATTCATTGCTCACCTTCTCGTACTTGTAGATCCGGTTCTCGGCGCGGGCCAGGCCCACGGCGACTTGCGCGTTCCTGCCGCTGTGCACGCTGTCCCGCACGGCGCCCATCAGGAACGGGCAGAGCAGCTGCACCGACCAGGTGCCCGGCAGCTGCGGCAGCACCTGCGCCGCGTCGAACTCGGCCGCGTGGCGATTCAGGAGGTCGGCGGCGGCCACCGACAGCTCGGCGCCCAGGTAGAGGCTGAGCAGCGAGTGGAAGAGGCGCTGGCGGTAGGCGGGGTCGCGGCCCTCCGAGCGCCACGTGCAGTAGTCCTCTGCCGCAGTGAAATCCTGCAGCTCCAGCACCAGGATGCGCAGCGCCTCGGCGTGCTCCTCCAGCTTCCCATGCAGGATGGCGCGCTCCAGGGGCAGCCCGGCCCCGCGCACCCGCTCTGCGAGGGGTACAAGCCTGTGAGTAGCCTCCCTGTGAGTGAGGGAGACCCGCCACCTGCCCCCTGCTGAACCCCCACCGGCGGACCCGGGGCTCGCCTTCCTAGTCGGGACCGGAGCCCAGTTCTTGCATCCCGCAGGCTTTACAGCAGTGGGATTTGCAGCAACAAGGGTGGAACTAGAGGAGACCATGCTGAGGGAAGTCCGGCAGAAGGAAAGGGGCAGATTCGGGATGCTCCCTCTCAAAGGTAGGACTTGAGGTACACAGCAAGGCGGCAACAAAGATGCAAATGCAGCATCAATGGGAACTGACCCACACAACTGAGTAGGGGGTTTTGGGGGCTAGGAGAGGGTAGGGAGGGAGATGGGTGCACTGTGATGGGCGTGGTGTTGGGATTCTGTCCATGAAAAAAACACGCTTTAGAGTATCATGAGGGGCTGGAGAGATAGCACAAAGGTAAGGCGTTTGCCTTGCATGCAACAAACCCAGGTTCGATTCCCAACATCCCATATAGTCCCCCGAGCACCGCCAGGAGTAATTCCTGAGTGCAGAGCCAGGAGGAAACCCTGAGCATCGTCGGGTGTGACCCAAAAAGAAAAAAAAAGTATCATGAGCCAAGAATAAAATTAAACCTTAAAATTAAATTCAAAAGAACTTAAGGGTGGGGAGAAGGAATGATGGAAGGAACAGAGTGGTCGGGAGCCCTGAGGACCCAGGGAGACGGTTCAGAGGGCTGCAGTGTCAGCTCTGTATGGGGGAGCTACTAGTCACAGGAGGGTCCCTCCTTGGTCAGGCCTCAAGCACAGCCAGGTATGGTCCCAAAACAGCAACAACAATCATAGGCAAAGGCAGAACAGGCAAAGGTTCATGTGAGACAGCTAGTGCCACGATCTAGTTCTCCAGCTAACGCACCGCTATTTCTATTTTCCCAGTTTAACATTTCTTGGCTAAAATAGGTGCTGTGGGGCAGGAGTGATAGTACAGCAGGTATGGTGTTTGCCTTGCACATGGCTGACGCGGGTTCCATCCCTAGCATCCCATATGGTCCCCTAAACACCGCCAGGAGTAATTCCTGAGTGCAAAGCCAGGAGTAACCCTGGTGCGTTGCTGAGTGTGAGCCAAAAAGATAATAAATAAATAAATAAAATAAAAATAAAATAGGCGCTGTATTTGCTTTTTCTTATTGGGGTTGCGACGGGGGGCAAGGCCCAAGCCCAGCTGCATTCTGGGTAACTCCTGACAGGGCTCGGGAGGCCCTATACAGTGTTATAGAGAACTGGGGCTGACTTGGGTTTGATCCCCTGCACCACGTACTCAAATACACAGCCACACACACACACACACACACACTTGCACACATGTTCACACACCCAGTGATACAGACTCAAGCACATCCATAGAGTCACACTCACACACAAATGCACTTACCTTCACACTCACTCTTATGCACAGACAGACGTATACTCAGTCATACACAGTAACATTCATATACTCACACACATATACATTCAGACACACACACAGACATACAAACTCACAAACACACACACTGACACACACGCCTCCCCACCTCAGCCAGGGCCCTCCTGCGCCACTAGGAAAAGGCTTTTGTAGAGCAAGCACAAAAAGCTGTGCCACCCCACCCCCCACCCCTGGCATCTAGCTCCCACCTGTGGACCCAACCCTAGAGCCCGGCCACCTTCTTCCCTGCCCCTTGCCTTGTGGGGAGCCCCTTACCTAGCAGAAAGTGGACTCTGTATAGGTCGGATCTCTGGAGCAGGAGGCGGAGCTTCTTTTGCACCTCGGGGGCCTCTGCCCCGGGGCCACCATCCGGAGGCCGCTGCTGCAGTACCTGATCTAGGTAGAGGAGTGCGAGGCGCGTGTGGAACTCTTCCCTCTGCAGGAGACCCAAGCACACACACGGCGTTTGCCAGCCGGAAGCACTGGGCTTGCCCCAGGCTACCACCGAGAGCACCCCCAATGCAACTGTGCGAGTCCGAGCTCGGACTTCTCACGGGGCTCCACTGGGGGCACTGGAAACTCACACACAAGCCAGGAAACCTGAAAAGGCACCACCTTTTTTTTTTTTTTTTAAGAAGGGATGGTCAAGGACTTAGGCCTTCATCCTCCAAAAAGCGGTAGCTTCTCTCATGTCCTCTAAGGAGGAGAAAAAAAACCCAAGCAGCATGGACCAGGAGCAGAGGCTCAAGACCTCCCACCAGTCCCGGCTGCCCGGCAGACCTCCCCTTATCGCCTGCTGCATGCTGGTGCCGGGGTCAGGTTCTATTTCTGCAGTTTCCCCCTGAGGCCTGCAGCCCACACCCTTTCCTCGGCACTCAGGTGCCACCTATGTGCCATTTGAATCTTCACCTGTAGTCTCTGGTCCATAACTAGATGTTCCAGGTACTTGACAAGGGCTTTGGGGTATTTGTTAAGGCAAGTGATGATATCGTTGGGATTGAAACTGTTCTGCTGTTCATCCAATGGTCTCTCAGTGAACACTTTAACTCCGACCTGAAAGAAAAGCAGCAAGCTCATCAGGAGGCCTTTGGAGCACCCAGCCGTCACTGTATCAACTGCACACACGTGACCCGAGACAAGAACACTGTCAAAGCCACACAGTGCCACAGATGCACAGCGCTGTGAGGAGCAATGACAGAGACCCCAGATCATCTAAGACCAAGGACAGCTGCTGAATGATAAGCTAAAGACTTTGTGAAGTGGACAATGAAAAGACATGGATGAACTCAGTTCTCAAAATACCGGAATCGATTCTGTGGATTCCCTGGAAAAAACCCAGATTGAGTCACCCAATATCTTTCTGGGTTTTGCTCCCATGCCAAAGGGACCTGCAGGTCCTCTTTCAAGTCCCCACAGCCTTTCCCCGAGGCTCCTATGTGCCACGTTTCATGAACACACAGCCACACTCATGTGCTTGTAACCCCACGAGTGAGGAGAAAACAGTCCAGCTTGCACAATACAAATTTTGATTTCTATGAGCCTGGACAGGTTAGTCTTTGCTCTACCAACCAACAAAACGCTTAGGCAACACTCTTGAACGCTCTGGGTCTGTCTCCTCCTCTCTAAGCAGTCCCCGCCTTGTGGGCTGCTGTGACATTTCAGAGAGAGGACACCTGTCCTCTGACTGGGACTGGGGAGATCTCAGGCTTCTGACAGTGCTGGGTCATTCTGCACAGATGTGGAGGGCTGGCAGCATATTAATGCACATGTATCCAGAGTCAGTGTCGTGATTCCATAAAAGGCACAGGATCAGAATCTTGAGAAGGGCAATGATGGCACCATACTGAGAGCCATCTTCAGAACGGCAGAGATGGGGCTGCACTAAAAGCCTTTTTATTTTTTAAATTTTATTAAAGAGCCATGATTTACAAAGCTTCTGGTAGTTGTGTTTTAGGCATATAATAATTCAACACCCATCCCTCCTCCAGTGTCAACTTCCCTCCACCAGTGTTCCCAGATCCCCCCACCCCCATCCTAACCCCTACTCCCTCCCACCTGTCAATGTGACAGGCACATCACAACGTTTCCGGGGTTCGCTGCTTAGGTCTCATGTTTTCAGTTCTGTTGAATCTGTGCGTTGGGTCTATGGCTAACCCCCTCACTCATATCACTGGTATAACTGAAGCCCTGATGCCTGTTCACCCATTACTTCTAGTTCTCTTCTTTCCCCCTGGATTCCTTTCCTTCTCTGTCTGTCTCTTCTCTGAACACTGGGGATGAGGATATCTACACATCTGATACCCTTTACATTTCCTCATCCAGTAGTCTGAATTCCATACATAAGCGAGCTCATCCTGTGTTTGTCTTTCTTCCTCTGTAAGAGCCATCTTTAGAAGGGCCTTCGGAGCCTCAAAAACAAACGTCACTGAGGTCCTGCATCAGAAAGCTCAGGCTGTTTCTCGAGGTACTTCTCAGGAAAGGCAACTATTCTCAGTGGCGAGGGTATTTTCCTCCAGGACTCTTCAGGGATCTGACAAGCATCCTATCCCTCTGCCTGGGCATGCTGCCCCTGTCCTCACCAGCCCACACAGTGTGGGTGAGTACCAGCCTCGCTGCCCAGGCTCCCATAGAGGCCTGGTCACATGCTCACCTTCCACCTCCCTCCAGGCTCCACAACTTCTGTATCAGGGGTGGTGGGAGCAAAGACAAAGGCCATGACTTGTTGGTGTGGCCAACGCTCTGAGGGTAACACTTGGAGTCTGCTCCAGCCCTCAGAAAACCCACAGGCCAATGCGGTTACAGACTGGGGTCGATAAAGTTGACTTTTTTCCTTTTTAAAAAAGGAAGATGGTAAGAAAGCAAGCTGGGGGCTGTTCTTTACTTTTCTGTAAAAGTTTTGTCTCCCTTGGGACTGGAGGCATAGTACAATGGGGAGGGCATTTGCCCTGGGTTGGATCCCCAGCATCCCATATGGTCCCCTGACCACTGCCAGGAGTAATTCCTGAGTGCAGAGCCAGAAGTAACTCCTGAGCCATCTCCAGGTATGACCCAAAAAGAAAAAAAAAATCTGTGCCCTAGCCAAAGCAGAAACTCTGAGAACTTAGACTGAATAGCACAAGGAGGAGGGTGTGTTCAAAGGGGATGGGATGAGGCAGAAAGGCTGAAGCACGGCTGATTTTCCCATCTCAAGTCCAGCCTCTGTCGGTCCTTGCCAGGCCGCCCATTCACACCTCCTGAAATGGAAGTAATCGCACAGCACCCACCTCCTGGCTTTTCTGTAAGACCCAGTCAGCATACTTCCACACGAGCTCCTGGTCCAAGCTGTAGGTGAGAAAATCGACGACATACTCATACAGGTCCGTGCGGGTGGCGTCCTGCACGTCCCCATTCACGATGTTCACCCATAGCTGGCAAGGAGCAGAAACAAGGAGACGGCAGGTCACACACACTCGCTTCGTCCTGTGGCCTTGTCATAGAGAAGGTGCTCAGTGCCCCAGACTTCTGCACCTGTGGATCTAACCCACCCAGGGGTGGGGAAAATCTATATTCCAGACTGGAGCCTTCAGTGGTTGCACCTGCACCAGACGTGTCACAATCTTATCGTCGTTCCCTAAACGACAGGGCACAACAACTCTTCCCATCCCTGTGCACTGTGCTCAGTATTTTACGGGGTTCAGAGACAAAATGGAGCAGAGGATGGAATGTGCACAAGACATATGGAAGGACCGCAGCGTTTCCCAGATGGTACTGAAGCACTCCTGTACGCTGCACCTCTTGTGGTGTTGGCACCACATCACTGGGGCTACTGGGCAGGAGGATGACCTGTACTTAAAAGTTACAGGAGCTTCCTCTTCTGTAGCAGCCCCAAGGGCCCCGAGGTCATGTGTTATTCGCTTGACCCAAACCCTCCACCTATGAAATCACACAAATCAAGAGGCAAATCAATCTCTGTGTTGAGTTGGGGAAAAAAAAAAAACCCTGAGCAACTGCCGTTACTAACAAGGGTATGTGTAATCAAAAAGAAGTATCTGAGGGCTGCCAGTCTGCAGAAGCCCCATTTGTCCTTCTGGTGTATCAATGGTGGTACTGGGCCCAGGTCAACAGAGCGGGGCTGGACATGAGGTTGGAGGCCCCCAGGGAATGCAGGATGCTTGCTTCCCATGCTTAAAAATGCAGAGTCTGATTCTAAACGAGGCTACTTATGAATAAGGAAGAGACAACTGCCAGTGGGAGAAGTGTAAGCAAAGGAAACAAAAACAGAGAAGTGGCAGGTAAAATATTAGAGAGGAATGAGTAAATCTGTTTGCCTAGATTCTAGAACCAAACACTTGCATTTAGATACATGTGAAGGAATTCAATATAGAAGATCAGGCATCATTTAATAATAAACTAAAAAATGCAGAATCAAGCTGACTGCAGGGTTTGAGGCAGAGTTTCTGCTTGCTGAGCACAGGCATGAACAAAGCATCCCAGAAGAGCTGTGTCACATACAGGCTCATGGGCAGAGTCAGCCCTGCCACACAGAAACGGTCCTTGCTGAGAAAGAGCAGTGTGTCCCTCAATCCAAAGAGATGAGTGCACAGAAGAAAAAGATTTCACAGAAGAACAAAGAAGAAGCAAACATTGGGGTGCAGGAATAAACTAGGCATAAAATAAACTCCAACCTAGGGGCTGGAGTAACAGCACAGAGAGTAGGGTGCTATTCTTGCACATGGCCAAACCAGGTTCAATCCCTGGCACCACATTCAGTCCCAGGAGCACTACACTGCCAGGAGTGATCCCTGAGTGCAGAATCATAAAATAAATAGAAATATAAGGCTCGAGGGATAGTACAGCGGATAGTGCATTTGCCTTGCATGTGGCTGATCTGCATTCAACTTCTAGTTTCCCACCTGGTCTCCCATGCCCTGCCAGCAGTGACCCTTGGGCACAGAGCCCGTAGTAAGTCCTGAGCATCACTGGGTGTGGCTCCAAAACCAGAATAAATGTATTTGGGACATGGTCTTGTGTCTCTAAATTCCCTCCCTCCCTCCTTCTCTCCCTCCCTTCTTGTTTTTGGCCACACCTGGTAGTGCTCAGGGCTTAGTCCTGGCTCTATGCTTCGTGATCACTCCTGGTGGGGCTTGTGGGACCTTCTGGGGTATCAGGGTCTGAACCCCGGTTGGCCATGTGCAGACAAAAAGACCCTACCTGATGTATTCTCACTCTGGCCCAACTAGGTCTCAAATTTCCAAACACTCCATCTTGGAACATTCCTTCAAAAGATGAAAGCTCTTATCCCACATATCTCAAGGAATTTATTTTCTGAAACAGGTCTTTACTTTGTTTTATAGCAAAGACGGTGGATAAGGCCCAAAGTGCCTTCCAGCAGACCTGTATTTTTATTTTCCTAGGTCTGCCGGAGTGGAGCAGCACTGACTTGCAGGGACATGGCAATGCTCAAGAACTCACCTGGACAGCGGCTGCGTCTTGTTTATTATAGTGATAGAGCAGCCCCAGGGCGAAATACCTGCAAGAAAGCAGCGTGGTGAGCATATCCTCGCCACCTCCCATCCTCGCTGTGGCTGCGGCACCTCTGTGTTCTTTTCCATACAAGTTTTCCAACAACAAAAAACACGACTCCTTTCTCTATACTTACACGAGGTGTGGAGAATCTACAGCCCCCTCCAATTCCAAAATGGGTCCATACCCAAGTCTGAGAAGCTGAGAACTATAACTCTAATCTTAACATGGATAGTAACACCAGAGCTGCCTGTTAACTTGCTATGAATTTTTTTTTGGGGGGGGTCACACCCGGCGATGCACAGGGGTTACTCCTGGCTGTGTACTCAGAAATCACTCCTGGCGGTGCTCAGGGGACCATATGGGATGCTGGGAATCGAACCTGGGTCTGCCACGTGCAAGGCAAACGCCCTACCCGCTGTGCTATCTCTCCAGCCCCAACTTGCTATGAATATTAATCCGACGTCTACTTCTGCAGCTTAGCAACCCTGCGACTCGGACAAGGCATTTTAAGGATGCCTGTGGCAGGAAGGCGGTTCAGCACCTGATGGAAAGAGAGGGAAGGGACCTGCCTGGGCATGGAAGTCAGCAGCATTTGGCCACCGCAGCAAACAAAGCTGTTGAGTCTAGGCAGGAGCTTGGGCTCCAGGCCGACGTTTCCAGCCTGGGCTTTGTTGACATGGACAACAGGACTCTGGGCTTCTGCTTCCCAGCCCCCCACCTACAAGGATAGCCAGCATTGTGGGTCCTGTCACCAACTCCACACTACCCCACCCTATTGCCACCTCCGGGTGGCTATGCGGGTTCTGGGGAAGGTCAGAATCAAGCTACAGTGGGCAGGATATTTGCCTTGCACACAGCCAAAGCTGGGTTTCATCCTGATTATCCCCTTGGGTGCCCTGAGTCTCACCAGGAATGATCCCTGGGAGCAGAGCCAGGAGTAAGCTCTGGGTGTGGCCCCCCCCGAAAACCAAACCCAACCAACCCAAAGCAGATTAAAAAATAGTCACTCCTACTGGGAAGCCTCCTGCCTTCCTTAGCCTTCCAGAAAGCTACATGGATTCTCTGCCCTCCACCTCCTCCAGCCTGAACCCCTCCACCTCCACCCCACCTCCCACCCCTTGCCCCCTAACACTACCACAGAGCCTCTGTGTATCTTCCGGGTCCAAAACATCATTAACTCCCTTCCCACTGAAAATGCCAAAGGAAACACCCATAAATGCCAACACTGCCCACAGTGCACTCTTCCCAGGGGTGCTATCCTGACACGTTCACATGAACAGTAGCCAGCAGCTGAACCACTGACAGCTCTGCAGGACTAGGAGGCACGCACGCCCCTGGCCTTGCACACAGATCACTCACAAAGGACAGCAGTGCCAAATGGACATTAGGGATCTGCCAGCTCCAATGCACTGAAAGCACCAGGTCCCTGGACGGCCTCCCCAGGGTGACAAGGCCCCAGGCCTGTGCAGGGGACGCAGTGGCCCATTTGACCACACGATGAGGCAGAGCTTCAGCCCTGACCTCTGAACAGCAGCTCCAAGACGCTGCCCTTCTGTCTACGTACCCACACAATTACGCAGGGCCCTGCCAGGGTACCTCACCGGGGGCGGAGTCTGAGGGAGAAACCTGGGCGTGATCTGGAGGAAGAGAAGTAACCCTGTGCTCATGCTAAGCCCACGACCAGCAGTGAGGGTGTCCCTTTGTGCCTGTTGCCTGGGGAGTATGCCCAGATGACCACGAAGTCTACAGCCTGGGGTGAACCAGCAGCTGGGGGCCACTGAGCTGCTACTGTGATCCCGGGTCGGTGTTGGGAACACCGCTATTCCCCGGGCCCAACCCAGGCATGGGGCAACACTCACTTGCGGTGCTTCTCCAGCCAGGCGGCACTGTCGCTCAGCAGGCAGGAGTTCTCGGTGACCAGCAGGTCCAGCAGGCTGTCGTGGTCCGCCTCGGCGTAGAGCTTGAGTAAGGCCGTGTCCACGTCCTCCTTATAGCCGTTGGCGCCCTCCGTGCTGCGGACTTCGTTCAGGTAGCTCATGAGGAAGCGCTTGCACTTGGCCACCTTCTCCTGGTCCCCCTGGGTCAGCTGGTTGAGGTCTGCATACTCGTGGAGAGGCGGGTGAGACCGTGTGAATGAAGAGGAGGTGGGCAACAGGAAGGGGTAGAGAGAGATCAGCTCCCGGACGTCAAGCTGGCCGCTTCTGCAATTACAGGGTCAAACCAGATGAAGCAGAGAGAGAGCGAGATGGAGAGGGAGAGAGATGGAGAGGGAGAGAGAGGGAGAGGGAGAGGGAGAGAGAGAATGAGAAAAAGGAGGGGGAGAGAGAGAAGTGGGGAGAGAGAGGAGGGGAGAGACAGCAAGAGAAAGAGGAGGGGGAGAGAGAGAAGAGGAGAGAGAGGAGGTAAGAGATAAGACGGGAAAGAGAGGGGGAGAGAGAGAAGAGATAGGAAGAGAGAAAGGAGGAGAGAGGGGAGATGGAGAGAAAGGAAGAGATAGTGGGAGAGAGAGAGGAAACAGGGGGGAAAGAGAGAGGGGGAGGTGGGGAGAGTCCACGCAGGAGCATGGCACTGCCTAGAGGGTTGCCTCACGACATAGGCTGGATAAATGAACAGGGTGGGGCCTGCTGCTGGCACCTGCTTCCCACCCTCAATCCGACCAGCCCAGCCTAGGCAGCCCTGGCCAAGCCCACGTCGGAGTTGAAAGGGCCATTTTTCCAGAGGGACATGTGGAGTTTTGCTGCCACCACCTCAAATTACCTGAAGAGCTCTTTGGCTTCCAGAAACTGAAGCTGTGCGAACTGTATGAAGCCCGCCTGCTGCAGGATCCGTCTGTACATGACCTGCAGGGAAAAACAGGTTGAGGAGCAGAGCGATGGTAGAGCAGGGCGGGCATTTGCCTTGCACGGGTCTGACCTGGGTTCAATCCCCAGCATCCTATATAGTCCCCCGAGCACCGCCGGGAGTAATTCCTGAGTGCGGAGCCAGGAGTAACCACTGAGCATCACTGCATGTGACTCAAAAACAAGGGAAACAGACTGAAAGTCCCCACAGAGATGGTGGTTAGCGAAAAAGATGGCAACTCAACACAACTCTGCACACTGATGCTCAGAAAGAAAAGGCAAGGTCAGGGTCAGGAGAGAAGGCTGAAGAGCACACATGGCGCGTGGACAAGGAAGGGGCACCTGGGCGGCAATAGCCATGCAGGTGTGTGGGTACCAAATCCATGGATGTTGAGCCCCGGGGAGCCCATTTTCGACAGTGGAGAAAGAAGGGTGCAAGGGTGCAAAATGTCTGAGCTGGGCCCTTGCTGGTGTGGCCACATCCCCAGGGAACAATCAGAGCCTTGCAGAGTTTAGAGCTCTCAGGTGAGAGAGAGCCTCCAAGTGACAGAGCTTTTTATTTGTGCTTTTGCTATTCTGCTGAATGTCAAGAGTGGGTGTGTGTGTTTGCTTTCAAGATTAGTACTGAAATGCAGAGACACTCTCATACTCCATAAGGGCAGATCATTCTTCCTGTCTCTTCCACCTGCAGAATCTGTTCTGTGGCACAAAATAAGTGAGGCTTTTTTAACTTGCTGGGCTCTCCAAGAGGGGCAGAAGAATCGAACCCGGGTAGGCCCTGCCGGCTGTGTGCAAGGCAAATACCCTACTGCTTTGCAATCGCTCCAGCCCATATCTATAGTATGAGACTTATAAGGTGAGGGTAGGGTAAACAGGGTCCAGGAGGACTGGTCAATGGCTGGATGCTTGCCACAAGTGTGCGGGGGGCAAAGGGTAGTTAGGACAGAGAAGGGACCGGCATGACAATAATAGTTGGAAATGCTCATTTTGGACAGGAACCGAGTGTTGAAAGTAAAGGGATACACCTGATAACCTTTCATTATCTGTATTGCCAACCAGAAGGCCCAAAAGAAATAGTGGCAGGCGGCGGGGAGGAAGGAGGGCGGGAGGGAAACTGGGACCAGTGGTGGTGGGAAAAGTACACTGGTGAAGGACGGGTATTGGAACATTATATGCTGAAATCCAATCGTGAACAACTTTATAAATGTGTTTATCACTGTGATTAAATAAAAAAAAATGAGTGATCTTATTCCACAATCATCACATAATACCGTAAAAATCTGAGCTTCCAGGAACAATCAAGAGGATCCTTACTTCATGACCACTTTTCTTTGGTTGGTTAGCTTCTCTATCACAGCTGGTGGTACTCAGGATTTACTGCTGGCTCTGTGTCCAAGGTTCTCTCCTGGTGGGACTTGGGGGACCATAGGGGAGTGCTTGGGATCAAACTTGGATCAGGCAGGTGCAAGGCAAATGCCTTATGTGCTATACTATCTGACCACATATGAGAACTTTGAATGACTAATTTGGATGTCTATAAGAAGCACAATAGACCAGTATCATGGTATTTCACTCTCTAACACATAGAGCATTCTGAACTAATCTAACGGCACCATGTAGCAATTGTTGGTTTTGTTTTTGGGTGACTCCTGGTGATGCTCAGGGGTTACTCCTGGCTCTGCACTCAGAAATCACTCCTGGTGGGCTAAGGGGACCATAAGGGATGCTGGGGATGGAACCACAGTCGGCAGCATGCAAGGCAAGCACTCTACCAGGTGCACTATGGCAACAGCCCCTATGTAGAAATTCTTTTTTTTTTTGCTTTTTGGGTCACACCCAGTGATGCTTAAGGGGTTACTCCTGGCTCTGCACTCAGGAATTACTCCTGGCGGTGCTCAGGGGACCATATGGGATGCTGGGAATTGAACTTGGGTTAGCTGCGTGCAAGGCAAACACCCTACCTGCTGTTCTATTGCTCCAGCCCCATGTAGCAATTCTTAAGGAACTTGATTTCATCAGACATATAGCTAATTTGTGACTTCTGCATCAACTATACCCATTATACCGACCAAATCAAAGTCATTATTTTTGGAGTGCATTGAAAGTTCTCTCCTAAAGAAACAGAGATGGGTTACTGCAATATCAGGAAGCTCCTATCTGCATAGCCAGCAAAGCCTTTCATGGACATAATGTGAATAGAGACTATTTAATCCCACCTCCTCAAGGCAAATACAGATTCTAAGGAAACAGTTGAACCAAATACTCCTCTTTTCAGTTATAAGGAATGTCTCTGAAGGTGTACTGAATAAGCCCATTCAGAACTCAACTCTATACTGGCAGAATGAGACCAGATTGGGGGGTTCCTATCTGCCTCTGCCTTGATGAATCTGTACCGGCAGCCCAGCTGCTCTGCCATTCTGCACTGTTCATTAATCTGCATGGTGGAGATGAGCAAGGAGCTTTGGCAGCAGACCCAGGTGATCTGGAAGGGCCTACAGGGAAGAAGACCCATAGCTGTCTATCTGGTGGCTACAGGGAATTCCTACCCCTGTGGGTTACAAACCTGAAACTTCTCTTTTGGGATGTTCCTCCGAGCTCCTTTGGCTAACACCAGCGCCTCCTCCACTCTCCGGTTGGCGAGGAGATCCTGGATTTGCATCTCCAGAGGTAATGGAACCAAGATGTAAACTCCTTTACTCGTGGTGACAATCACTCTTCCTGGGGAGAGATATAACGCCATCAGCAAGGAAGAGAGGACGAGTCTCCCCAAGGAGATTCATTGCTCACCCCAAAGAGGATGGTCACCTGGTCTGCAGAGAGACTTTATCACCTGTTGCCCAGAGATTATTCGTGACTTTACTCCCTATTCTTCCTCCGATAGGAAACAGCAGTTCCCACAAGTACAATACATTATCATACTCTACTTCAACTATCATACACATTACACTTACTATAACATATAAAATGTTTGAAAATGTTTGTGTCCTTTTTTTTTTTTTTTTTTGCTTTTTGGATCACACCTGGCAATGCTCAGGGGTTACTCCTGGCGGTACCCAGGGGACTGTTGGAGTACAAGGAGCTTAGGTTTATCAGGTTGCACCCATCACAGTACTCCCAAGTCACTCCCATTCCTTTGTTTGTCTATAACCACTTCTATGCTCTCTTCCCCAACCAATTTGTAAGGTCTCATCCTTCTAGGACACTGAACTTGTACTGCAAGTTAATATTGCCTTTCTCCTCTCCTTATGTCTTTTGAATAGTTTATTTTAATACAATGTCTTTTTTGTATAGATACAGGAATACAATTAATATTATGCCTTATAACTTAGGATTTTATTGGCCTTGAATATTATTCACTCCTGGGCATCTGCCTTCTTAACGTAAGGCTCAGTTGCCCTCACTTCCTAGCACTCCAAGAGCAGGGTCCCGACGTGGGACTGGATGGAACCAGGGCAAGCTGGTAAGTTATGTGCTACCCTGGCATCGCGATGGGCCAGGCCAAGGTGCCACGATTCTTAACTGTAGGTTAAGAGTTTGATCATAGGCAAATGCTGTCATGAACCAAAAGTAATGACGAGACTAGGACCCTGCTGCTAAGAATAGGAAGGATATCTGGCCTGAGCACTGCAGTCTGAGATGGAGATGGCCCTGGGAGAGCAATTCTATAAGCTTAAAGTATTTCTTACTGTGTCCATACAAAATGATTTATATTATGTATGCTTATATGTTGGTCGGACAAGGAGAGGAGAAACACATCCAGGGAAATCTGTTCTAGGGTGGGTTGATCTACTAAATGAGAATCTGTCCTAGAAGCAGTTTTCCTGTATGTCCTGACTAGCTTGGATAAGACTGAACTTTTCTCCCCTTCAAACTGCCTTCAGTAAACGATTTCAGTATACTGAGACAGTTTCCCTTATGTCACAGGAACCTAGCTGGTCTTAGGTAAGCAGATCTCAGGTGCTAAGCCAGGCCTGATCCTGGGGATGTAGATGCCTGGCTCCAGGCAGGCTGATCTTGGAGATGTAGATTCCAAGCTCTAGCAGACTGGTCTTTGATGTGCTAATCCAAGTGCTTGTAGCTTGTAAAAGGTGAGGCCAAGATTACTGGCCTGTGGTTGTAAAGAAACAATGTATGTTTTGCCTCAATGTTCTTTCTGTAACTCCTTTTGATGACATCACTATATTGCGCCCTTTAGAGGTACTATGATCTATATAAGGGAGATTTCAGGGCTCTCTGTGGGACAGGTGCATCAGAGAACCTGGGAAGATGGGTCTGAGGACAGAAGCTGAGAGAACAAAGGTGCACGTGCTTGAGGACTCCTGAGGTCTCCATGACATACATTTCTTCCATGTAATAAACTGCTCCTAAGACCAACCAGTTTATCCCTCGTTTCCTTCCTTTGCCTGACCATTGCCATAGACCTCCCTGGAGTGGGGAAACGGCTTGAGACTACCGAACGTGGGCAGTGGGAGAGATAGGCCGTTGCTGTCCCCTTGCCCATCCTTTTTGTATTATACAGGGGACCATATGGGATTCCCAGCAGGGAATCGAACCTGGGTCGGCCACATGCAAGGCAAACACCCTACCTGCTGTGCTATCACTCCAGCCCCTGTTTGTGTCCTTTAAAATTTAAAACAGCTGGTAGAATTCAGACTCAGTAGACAGTCTCTAGAGGTCAGTGTGGTTGTAGAGCTCAAATACACAGAATGATCTGTTACTGTTACTGATAGTGTCCTCCCACTGTTCATCGATTTGCTCGAGTGGGCACCAATAATGTCTTCATTGTGAGACTTGTTGTTACTGTTTTTGGCATATCGAATATGCCATGGGGAGCTTGCCAGGCTCTGCTGTGTGGGCGGGATACTCTCGGTAGCTTGCCAGGCTCTCTGAGAGGGATGAAGGAATTGAACCTGGGTTGACCCGGTGCAAGGCAAACGCCCTACCCGCTGTGCTATCGCTGCAGCCCACACAGAATGATCAATACAAATTATTACCCAGATCCTTGGCTTGCTCTTCCATGTTAATTTATGTAAATTAAGAATTTTGTTGTGGGGGTGGCTGGAGTAACAGCACAGTGGGTAGGGTGTTTGCCTTGCACACGACCGACCTGGGTTTGATTCCCTGCATCCCATATGGTCCCCCAAGCACCGCCAGGAGAAACCCTGACTGCAGAGCCAGGAGTAACCCCTGTGCATCGATGGGTGTGACGCAAAAAGCAAAAAGCAAAAAAAAAAAAAAAAAAGGAATTCTGTTGGGGGACACTGGGACAATGGTGGAGGGAAGCGGATGCTCTAGTAGATGGTGTGGTGCTAGAATGACTTATGCAAGAGATCCTACCATTAACAGCATTGTAGACCATGGTGCAAGGAAAAAAAAAAGAATTCTGAGCTATAAAAGAGATTTCACAGTTGCCCACCAGCCAAAGCTCCACTCATCCCTCATAGGCCTCTGAGCTCCTTGAATACAGCCAAGTCTTCTGGTGACCTAATGGCCAAAGGGGAGTGCCTGCAGCAGCCCCAAGAGGGGCAGTGCCAGAGCCCAGCTTAAGCGTGGTCCCGAGGTCTCCCCCAGCACACTGCCTTTCCCTCACTCCAGACACCTGCTTTATAAAAGATTCTGCTTGATCTAGCTAAGCCAGAAGTTGAGAATAATGTGACTTCTTTTCCCGTCTTTAGACTTTCTTCCCCAGCTTTAAATTCTATTCTTAGAACTTGGGTTTACCATTAAAGAGTGGGTGTGGATACCCTACACTGCCCTCAGAATCCATGAATTCCCCCAATAAGCACAAAGACATGCATATACATGTTACACACACACACACACACACACACACATCCACCCCTCTCCTTGTGCCTTGCGTTGCTCTCACTGAAGTTCACGCACACCACATAAATTCAGGCTTTGGGAACAATACACCTGTATTCTCTCTAGTTTCCTGGTGGTACATGCTTTAGGGCATCTTGCAATTACAGGAAGAACCCCAAATCCAGTCCACAGTAATGGTCTAAAAAGGGAAGCATCTTTCTAGTAGTAGATAGGTGAGATATAACTGTGTATATCGAAACCTGTGATCCAAACTATAATAAGTCAATCAAAAATATTAAAAGAATTTAGTATTCTTTTAAAGGTGGGTACTCTGGGTCACGGAAGGGAGGCTGACACAGATGGTGGAGCTGGAACTGGAATACTACTGTCATTGTCACTATCCTATCACTGTCCTCCCGTTGTTCATCAAGTTGCTCGAGCGGACCCAGTAATGTCTCCATTGTGAGACTTGTTGTTACTGTATTTGGCATATTGTATACGTCACGGGTAGCTTGCCAGGCTCTGTCGTGCAGGCGAGATACACTCGGTAGCTTGTGGGGCTCTCTGAGAGGGGTGGAGGAATTGAACCTGGCTTGGCTGGGCCGGCTACAGGAAAGGCAAATGCCCTACTGCTGTGCTATCGCTCCATGCACTACATGCATACTACATGTACCAAAATCCATTACCATCTTGTAAATCACCATGACTAAATGAGAGAGAGAGAGAGAAAAGAGAGTGGGGAGGAGAGAAAGAGAGGGAGATAGAGAGAGAAAGAGAGAGGTGCATTTGAAAAAAACAACAAAGAATAGAGGCAACTAAGTGTGGGGCATTCATAACTGTTCTCTAAACCTAAGAAGTCCTCCAAACAGGAAAGTGTCTCAGGGAAATTCACTCGGGCTGGCGATGCCCAAGGCCAATCACAGTGGCACCACCCCATACCCGGTGGGAGAGATGCCCAGTGCCAGCATCCGTACAAGTTGTCAGGAACGAGTGGTGGCACCAGGCTCAATCCTCCATGATGCTTCAAGATGGAGGCTTGGTGTGAGCCGTGGCCCGCTGCAGGAACAGTGGGAGAATCTTCTCTTTCTAGCTCCCGTCAACCCTGCCCTGCATCCTCCGCCCTCCTCCAACCCTGGAGCCCTCACTTCCTCCCCGGACTCCCTGCATCCCGGGGGCAGAGCCACCAAGTGTCTTCCTTGCTAAGGTCCTGGCTGCGCCTTTTCCTTTCTGCTCTTCCAGCTACATGACCCTCTAGATCAAGCCAAAGTAGCTTCCCTCCCACCCATATAAGACTGTGTCCCTGAGAGGCACAGATGTCCCCTTTTCAGGAAGCTCCCACGCCACCTTGTTCCCACTAAGGGCAGGTACATGCCACCAGTCTGCACATGCCTTTGGCTAGCCCTCATAGCCCACAGCACACTAACCCTACGACAAATAAATATTCTCCTCGGCATCTGTGTCGGGGTGCCCACCAGTGCACTTCATGGAAAGCCTGGGAGTTGGGGTGCGCTGAAGCCCATCATCTAAAGCAGGAAGGCAATATCCAGTGAGCTAAGTTACAAAAATGGTGAATACATGACAGAGATAGAGATCTGATCCTGGCTTTGGGGAAATATTCCAGCCAGCATTCTTCGGACCACTGGAGAAATCTAAACAGCAGCAGAATAATTGAGTTCCTTATCTAAGCTGTGGAAAACACAGGAATTGACTTGGGTTCAATCCCCAGCACTTCATATGGTCCCCCAAGCCCTGTCAGGAGTGATCCTTGAGCACAATTTGGTGAGCCCCAAAATTTTTACAAAAAAAGGACAAACCTTACATGGTCCTTAATCTTGAGTATTTCAGACAAGATGTCTACTTACTTTCAAATGGTTTGGCAAATCAAGTCTGCTGGAGGGGAAAGGGTGTTGGTCCCTTCCGCCCTCCTCCCTCTGGAAAGAAAGATGGCGGCCACATGGGAGCCTTGTGGACAGCAGGTATGAGCCGGGGGTGTGGGGGCGACTAAAACCTCATGGGAAGGGGGGCGTTCCAGTCCGTCCTTCACGCCCTACCGAGGTCACCAGTTGCCCCCCGCGAGCTGCTCTCCAGCACGGCCACGGCCCCAGAAGCACAAGGACTTAATGCAGAATCCGGCAGCTTGGATCAGAAAAGTGAACAGACTATGCGTTAATCCAGGCCATCATGTTTGTCCGGAGGGGAAAGGGTGTTGCCCCAGTCGCCTTCTCCTCTCTGGAAAGAAAGATGGCGGCCGCATGGGAGCCTTGTGGACAGCAGGTATGAGCCGGGGGAGTGGGGGAGACTAAAACCTCATGGGAAGGGGGGCGTTTCGGTCCGTCCTTCATGCCCTACCGAGGCCACCAGTTGCCCCCCACTAGTGGCTCTCCAGCACGGCCACGACTCCAGAGCACAGAAACCAATTTCTTAACTATCTGACTTTCAGTAGAAATACTTCCAGGGTCAATAAGTAAAATAGCAGAAATCCAAAACCAACATTTAATTCTTGAACCCAGCTGTAGAAAGCAAATCACTTCACAATGCTTTTTCAGCATGTCTGATTTGGGGGGGAGGGGTAAACTCTAAATAATAGTGGTGAATCTTTTATTGAAACAATGAATCTAATCAAAGCAGATAGAGTGTTAACTAGAATTCATCTGCCCCACAGGGACTGGGAGGGGTGGGGGGTGGGATTTTATTGGGGTTCTTCATGGTAAAAAATAAGTATTGGTAAAGGGAAATGTGTTTGATATTTGCATGACTGAGACCTAAACCTGAAAGCTTTGTAACCTTTCCCACGGTGATTCAATAAATAAATTAATTAATTAATTAATTAAAAAAAAACAAATGGTTTGGCAAAATGTAAACTGGTGCTGAATCAAGATGAAGGGTACATGGTGCCTTACTCTGATGTTCTTTCTACTTCTTAGTCCATTTGAAAATGTTAATAGTAAAATTTGGGAAAAGTGGAATTAAACTCTAGTGAGCTCGCTATGGAACACAAGAGGGAGTTTTCTGACCTACCCCGGTTGCGGCAGTCTCTCACACCACCACACACACACACACACACACACACACACACACACACACACACACTACCTGCTACAGTCACAATAAACTACTCTGTGGCCTGAAGCTCACAGTTTCCTCTGAGCAGACTGGAACGCACCTTTTCTCCCTCCCTGAAGGTTTTCACATTTCAATTGTTAGGCCAACTTCCACTCCTTAAAAATCCTGCTCAAATATTCAGTAACTGCTGAAGGACAATTCTAGGAAATACATCTTCCTCTATTCTCTCAAGTGATCTTATTCCACTTCTCTCAAACCCTTATATTGCGGTGTCTATTAAGTGTCTATCTCCCCATTAACCTTGAGCCCCCAAAGTACACCAGAACATAATACCATTACAATCTTTTTTGTTTTTTTTTTGCAGTACCAGAGCTCAAACTCAGGTCTCATGCATGCAAAGCATGCTCTTCACTGCCATATTCCTGGCCAATCTCTGAATATTGTATGCTGAGCATAAAGCCCAGTTCCTTGTGAATCTTCAATAAAGAAGTATCATTACTTAAACAGAACCCAGGAACTAGGCTACAGTTTCTCCCTAAATGAGTACCTTCGAAATCCTGTAGAATGTGGCCTTCCTTGAAGGGCAGGGTCTGCTTCTGCTGCTGGTCCAGCATGCTGTGGACTGTGATGAATTCGTTGTCCAGGGCTATGACGTACGGGAAACAGATGGCTGCCCCGATCACATTCTCTGACCAGCGCACGGGCGCACGCTGAGATATTCCAGCCACGGTGGCAAACATGCCTACAAACACAGCCCGGGGAGCTGGGCATTAATGACAGGCTGTTCTCTGAAAAAGGGCTAGCACACAAAACAGCCACCCGCCACCTCCTCCTACAGGTACTTTCAAGAAGGGCAAACACTGTGCTGGACTGGTGAAGAAGCCTCAGAGAGTAACTCAGGCTTTGCAAAGAGAATTAGCTTCCTCATTCCTGGCAGGCTCAGGGGACCTCATGGAGGGCTGGGGATTGAACCTGGGTTGGCTGCCTGCAAGGCAAGCACTTTACCTGCTCTACTACCGCTCTGGCCTTCTCTCAGGGATCATTTCTGGTGGGACTCTATGAGCTATGTAGTGCCAGAGATGAAATTCAGGTTGGATCATGGAAGGCAAGCATTTGACCTGCTGCAGCCATCTTTCTGGCCCCAGAATATTATTTTTTTTTTATTATTATTACTTTTATTGAAAAGGCAGTTGTGATCCTATTTTGGGCTTTTTTGTTGTTTTCCCGAAAGTAAAAATCTGACCTTTCGAGACATGGAAAGAGATGGAGGAAACGTGTGTGCAAATTGCTAAGTGCGGGATGGAATCTAACACGTGACCACAGAAAGGAATAGGGGAAGGAATCCTGGCTGCAGAGAGCAAACCCCTGGGAAGGATGAACAGGCCTTTGTGGGCTGTGGAAGTCCTCTGTGAGATACCTCAGTGATGATGCACTCTCACCAAATACCACAGGCACCGGGAACGTACAGCACCAAGAGTGACCTCTACTATAAATGATGAACTTGGGCTGTGATGTGATGGATCCATCAAGTTTGCAGACTACTAGAGATGTCCACGCTGGTGCAGGGCACTAGTGACAAGGGAGGTTATGATGTGTGGGCTGGGGGGAGGGGAATGGTGTGGAGAAACTCTGTACTTCTCACCCCATTTTGCTCTAAAAGTCCTCTAAGAAAAAAGGAAGAGGGAGTGAATGAATATCAGGATGGTGCACTAACCAACACAGCCTGATTTTTTTTTCTTTTCTTTTTGGGTCACACCCGGCGATGCACAGGGGTTACTCCTGACTCTGCACTCAGAAACTACTCCTGGCGGTGTTCGGGGGACCATATGGGATGTTGGGAATCAAACCCAGGTCGGCCACGTGCAAGGGAGAATGCCGCTATACCGAATTTTTATCATAAATGTGTGTGCATCCATCATTTTAAAATGAGATGCCCAGGGTCAGGAATGTAGTTCAGTGGGAGAATGCTTGCCTTGCATGTGGAAGGTCTTGGATTTGACCCCAGTATTGGGAGGGAGTGGGGGGGGGGGGAAGCAGAAGAGGAAGAGGAAGGGAGAGAAGGGAGAGGAGGGGGAGGACTGGAGACATTACAGAGGTTAAACTGCTTGCCCTGCATGTGATCAATCCCATTTCCAACCCTAGCACAATATGGTCCCCTGAGCACTGAAGGTTGTGACACCACTTGGCCCCCGTAATCCCTGAAGCACATCCACGGGCCCTCACTTTCCATCACTGGCTCCCTTGCCCAAGAATCATCAGCAGGGTCTCTGGGCCACCTACACACGGCTTGGGAAAGCCCCCTCTGGAAAGGGGATGCCCATACCCACATTTTCCAAGGTTGGAGAGCAGCGAAATGGAAACGGGAACTTGTCAAGACATACAAAATCAGCCAAGGAACTTCGGGGATATTTTTCAGTGGGAGGAAACTAGTGGGCAAGACTCTTTCAGGGGCTGGAGAGACTATATAGCAGGGACCTCAGCCTCACAGGTGGCTGACACCGCATATGGACCCCTGAGCATCACCAGTTGGGATGCCTGAGCACAGAGCCAAAAAATAAGCCATGGGCATTGTTGGGAGTGGCTCAAAAAACAAAACCAATAAACAAAATGAATGATTACCAGTCACAATCAACTGACAAACCTACCAACACTGGAAACTCTGCTAAGTTCCCAGACGGTCTGAGATAAGGCACTTGCCTTGCATAGAGCTGACCTGGGTTTGATCCTGGCACCCCAAATGGTCCTCTGAGCCCTGCCAGGAATGATCCCTGAAGCACAGAGCCAGGAGGAGTAAGCCCTGGGCACTCCTGGGTCTGACCCTATCCCCCATCTTCCCACTGAAAGAAGTTCCTACCCATTTTACATGTGCACAGATGAACTTATTTTCTCCTGATGTATCCTTAGCCCCAAATCAAACTCATTCTATGATGGTCCTACCTTTGTTCTGTTAAATGCCATGCACAAAGCAAGCTACTGCCATCTCAGCAAGCCCTGTCCCCACAGCTACGCCTCTGTCCAGCCATACGGAGGAGGTCTCTACTCACCTAACCCCCCAGGGCCCGCCAGCAGGAACTCCTGTCGCCCAATCCGCTTAACAATGGGGCGCTTCTCCTCACTGCAGTAGGGGAACAGGTCCTGCGAGGTGCCTGTGCTATAGTTGAGGATGATGTACTGGGTGGTCAGGGCCAGGCACAAGAAGTGGCCGTCCACAGCCACGGCCACGGGCTGCTCGGGGGTGGGCACCTCCCTGACGATCTGCACGCGGTCCTCGTACACCAGGAAGAGCTGGATGGTCCTGCGCTTGGTGGAGATGATGCAGACCTCCACGCAGAAGGGGTCCCCACTCACGGGGTTCTCGTTCAGCGAGAAGGCCACCGCCCCCTTGATGCGGGCTCCCGAGGGCACGGGCTCCAGGCTCGTCATGTGCAGCAGCGTGATGCAGCTCTCGCAGAGCACCAGCAGCCGGCTGAGGGCCGACGCTGCCCGCAGCTCCTCCACCGGCTTCCTGGAACCCAGGTGCCGGCGCAGCTGCCTGGTGGCCGTGAAGGTGGCCGTGCCCGCGGGCTGCGGCTGCTCCTCCAGCAGAAAGTGGACGATGAAGCCATCGCTGGTGCCCACGTAGAGGTTCTTGCCGCAGCATTCCACGCACTCGATGTTCACTCGCTCCTTGTCGCCCATCAGCAGCTCCCGCTCCACTGCAGGGACCAGCGTGAAGGCCTTGGTGGTCATCCTGCCTGCTCGAAGATCTGTGGCCAAGAAAGAGAGGAGTCGGTCAAGGCGGAGCAGAAGTGGGGCAGTTAAAACGTGTGGGTTCCGCAGTGGGGAGGGCACCTGGCACCGTTAACTAAGTGGAAAGGGGCAATTGTACAGCGGGGAGGGCTCTTATCTTGCACGCAGCCAACCAGGTTCGATTCCCAGCACACCATATGGTCCCCTGTGAGTCCTGCCAGGGGTGATCCCTAAGCACAGAGTCAGGAGTGAGCCCCGGGCATCGGGCATCGCATCGCCAGGTGTGTCTCCCAATCAGAAAGAGAAATAAAATTAAAATAACAAAGAGCAAGGGAGGGACTTGAGGATGGCACCCAGAGAAAGTGCCTGCCTTGTAAACCCAACGTTGCAAGTTCCCTCTGCAGCACTTCTACCACCTGGCAAGTGCTCAGAGCATCCCAGCAGCTGCTTTTAAGGAACTTCTTGCATCTCAACCAAGCACATGCACGCACCCACCATGACCAGCACACCCAGCCCCTGGAGGGAACCTGCACTAAAGTGTGGAAAGGAGTGAGCAAGTAACTCCGCCAGGTGTGCGGACCCCTATTACCATGAGCACAAGCAGCCTCCCCCTGCCCCCCGCCCCCAACCAAGCATGTAGGCACCCCATGTAGTCAGTAGCAACAATAAAGGCAGAGGGTGGGGATGAAGTCATCACTGTCACAATCAATACGTGTCCACTTCCCCCGGGGGCTGCTTGGAAAGTGGTGATGACTCAGGGGAGACACATGAAGAAGGTGTGTCAGCTTCAATCCCTGACACAAACCTTTCTCAAAACACTGGCACCTCATCCCCAGGGTCAAGCCAATTCAAGGAAACACATTTTCCCTTTAAACTCCACTGAGTAAGACCCACAGAGGGACAGGCAAGCTCTGATACAGCCGAGTCTGAAAGGAAATCAGTGAAATACCTCTTCTTTCCTGCATCAGGCAAGGCCACCTTCTGAAATAGCAGGAGAAAAGGATTCTACTATTTAAAATGTGCATTGGCAGGGCTGGAGCTATAGTACAGTGGGTAGAGTGTCTGCCTTGCACGCAGCTGACCCGGGTTCGATTCCCAGCATCCCATACGGTCACCCAAGCACCGCCAGGAGTAATTCCTGAGTGCAAAGCCAGGAGGAACCCCTGAGCCTTGCTGGGTGTGACCCAAAAAGCAAATAAATAAAAAATAAAATAAAATAAAATGTGCATTGTGGCCAGAGCAAGAATAGATCAGATAAGGCACTTGCCTTGTGTGAGGCAACCGGGGTTCAATCCCCAGAAATGTGGTCCCCGAAGCCTGTAGGAGCATGTCATGCTGGGGAGGAAAACAGGGAAAGAGGCAGCTCCAGCTATCACAGGGAAGAGGTCAGTGCTGCAGAAAAGCTTCAAGTGCTCCACTACCAGTTTCAGGTGCTAAGCCCACCCCAGAACTCTCAGGCCGGCTCTGTGCCCACTTATATGCATGTACAGTTACACAGAGGTCCTGCAGGAAAGGGGAACACGCAGAAAACAGGCTGCCTTGTGCGGCAGTGGATCAAGCTCAAACTAGAGCTATAGCACCACCTTCTGGAAGGCAGAAGAGAAGTTTCCAGGTAAGATGAAATCACCCCCAGTAACGCAAAAGCTTAGGAATAATGCCACAAGAGGGAGCCAATGAGTGGAGCAAGCGTGCCCTATGCAGAGAAACACTGTCAGACTACCATATATAAAGGGCAACCAGCAAAGACCAACCCAGGTGTCTATTACAGCAAATGAGAAAGCAGGAGCATAAAACATAAAGGAAACAGAACATCGGAAAGAGAAAAAAAAAAAAGAATTCTCACACACCAAGCTCAAAGACAAGAAATTTGTGATCTAGTTAATAAAGAATTCAAAATAGTTACTTTGAAGTAACTCAACGAACTAAAAAGAAAACTTTAAAAAAAAAACTCAATAAAATTTGAAAAATACACTTGGCCAAAATGAAATTCTCATCTAAGAGACAATAACAGCAATTGATAATAATAAAAAGAACCAAACTCAATGAAATAAAACAAGAGAGAGCATATGAAGTAACCTGCATATCGACTGTATGATAAAAGATAGGATTTCTGAAATGAAAGTTAAGGGGGAAAAAAAAAACAGAACAAAGAAGCCATGTGTTTCAAAGGGATTCCTAAAAGAACAAATACCAAAGGTCTGAATTCAAAGAAATTCTAAAATAGTACCATGGGCGGGAGAGCTAGCAAGTGAGTAAGGAGCTTGCCTGCCTGCAGCTGACCCTGGTTAGAACCCAGGTCCCTGAGCACAGAGCCAGGAGTAAGCCCTGAACACTGCTGGGGATGTTCCCCGCTCCTCCTTGAAAACAAAACAAAACAAAACCCCACTAAAAATAGTTGTAAAATCATAGGATTTTATAGTTCAGGGTCCAAGGCACTTTTCTTGCCTGTGGCCAATACCAATTCGATCTCCAGTACCACATGGTCTGTGCGCCTCTAGAAGTAACTCCCACACAGAGCCACCGTAGACCCCCAGGCACTGTTGGGTGAAGCCCCAAAGTGAGTAAGCGAGAATAATAAACTTGACATTTCTGTTATTGCACGATTCACACTGCATCTAGGATTTCAAATGAATCTAGCAAGTTGGAGAGGCAGTTCAATGGGCAGATGGACCCTTACTTGCTGGGTTCAATGCCCAACATTGCAGATGGTCCCCTGTGCATCATGCCGGGGTAACCCCTGAGCACTGCTGGGTGTGGACCCCAAAACAAAACAAACCAGCAACTGATTTAGAATGTAGAACTGCATTATTAAAATATGGCTATACCTTAAACTCTATTAACTGGATTAAAAGTTATGGTGTCTAAATTTTTTTAAATGAGCACAGCTCTAATTTAAAGAGCAAACATTTTAATGTTTTCTCAAAAAATCACAAAATGCACATGTTCTCAAGGAAAGATCTGTGATTAACAACATAAATAAAGAGAACACTAAGCATCTCCAGGCGTGAAAAACAAAGTTACAGAGATGTTCTATTTCCCATGAGTCTTCCAATCTCGTTAAAGTCATAAGACTTGAAAAGTAAACAATCATTAATACAAAGCATTATATGCTAAGGGTTGAAATAAAGATACCAGTCAATCTTTTTCACCATATTAAGACTATACAGGGCCAGAGAAAGAGCACAGGTATTAAGATCCTTGTGCCGAACATCGTCTACAATTCTCAGGAACACATATGGTGCCCTGAGCCCTGCCAGGAGAGAACTCCCAAAACAAAATCAAGGTGCAGCCTGAGCAATGAACAGTGAGGAGGGCTTGTCTAGCCTGGTTGGATCCTGGCACCATATATGGCCCCCTGAGAGCTGAGCCAGGAATCAGCCCCGACCACTGCTGGGTGTGATCCAAAGAAAAAAACAAAACAAACAAACAAAAAAAAAACAGCCAAGGTACCGACAAACCGTACTAAACATACACTTCTAGACACAAACATGAGAAGTATTAGGGGCCCAAAGTGATAGTACAGTGGGTAGGGCACTTGCCTTGAATGCAGATGACCAGAGTTCATCCCCAGCACTCCATACTGGTGTGCCGAGCCCTCCAGGAGTGATCTCTGAGCTCAGAAAGAGAAGTAAGCCCTAGGTACTGCTGGGTGTGGTCCCCAAACAAACGAAGGTAACAAAATTAAAATAAGACATAAGCCAATAGCACTGCACTGTAGCACTGTCCTCCAATTGTTCACTGATTTGCTCCTGCAGGCACCAGTAATTGTCTCCATTGTGAGACTTGTTACTGTTTTTGGCATATCAGATACGTCACGGGGAGCTTGCCAGGCTCTGCCATGTAGGTGGGATACTCTTGGTAGCTTGCTGGGCTCGAGAGGGATGGAGGAATCAAATCTGGGTGAGCCACATGCAAGGCAAACGCCCTACCTGCTGTGCTATTGCTCTACCCAATAGGATATATATGTATATAATATATATAGTAAATGACTATCATAAAATGTATATTTCATAACAAAATAGATTTATTATAATAAGATACATTATAAAACATAAGCCTAGAGAGGAAAAACTGAAAGAAGAAAGAAAGAAAGAAAGAAAGAAAGAAAGAAAGAAGTACTTGGATTATGCAGGAGATTGAATAAAAATAAGAAACTAACAAATCTAATAGAAAGATGAGAAGGAAAGAATGTTCAGCCTGGCTAATAATCTGGAATCACAAATAATAAGTGAGAACAATGAGAATTCATTGACAAAACATCTGAAGGCTTAGGATCACTGTTTACAAGAACGTGGAACAATGAAAACTGTGCTACTGGTAGAAGCATCCACACTGCCAAAAACCATTCGTGCACTGAATTCCGTACACGAACACAGAAGTTGAATAAGGAAGGCCTTGGCATTCCTAAGCTGGGGATCCTGCTTCTAGACAACTGTCCTACAGAATGTACAGTCACCGGGGTGTAAGCAAGAACACAGCAATCTTGTTCAAGACAGGGAAATTGGAAACAATTCAAATTTCCTCAACAGGATGCAGCACTAAATAGCAGCCAAACTGCCTCCAAAACCAAGTGGCGAAAGCTGCTAAACTTAAATACTGAGTAAGGGCTTGTAAGACCCCCAAGTAGGAAAACCCAACCAGCACAGCTTTCAGGGTTGCAACCATGTATAGGAGGATGATATATTTTAAGTGCGCAAAGAACCTGCATGAATCCAAAAAGGATAACACTGGTTCAGAACTGGCATAGAGTAGATTCCAAGGATTATTAATTATTAATCCTGTTCTGCTTCTTAAACTGGGGTGGTGTTTTAAATGAACTGCATAATATCCTATCATTACAAATACGAGTACTGGTTTAAAATACATTGTGTGTCCATGAAATCCATTTACCCAATCCAGCTTACCCTGGAACTAGGTGGTGAACCTTCCTGTGAATAAATCTGGTACAGAATTCTCAAGAAGGGTCATGTTTAAAATTTCATTGTGTGAAAAGCTGACTGCTTAGAATTTCTCAACT